CTATTCATGACTGTATTTGAAGCTATTTTTGTATGATTCCTGATTTATATGGAAAATGGCTGAAGTAAAATTTTAATATTTTAAGTTTAATATTAATTTAACATTATATAATTCATATATGAAACTATGAATTGTAATTTTAAATGGTTTAAAAGCATGCAGAATAGCATAGGCAAGTATAATTCTCCTTTTTTTAAACCAAGAATCAAAAAGAAAAGAGAAAAAAAAGAAACTGGGTTGGTGGTTGAATCATCCAATGTCAAAACCAAATCTACGCCCCTGTCTTATGGCAGCAGTACTGAAGACGATTGGGGACATTAAAAAGAAGCAAAAAAACCTCCAAACAAACAAACAAACAAACAAAAAACAAAAAACAAAAAAAACGGGGGCGTCTTTTTCTTTTAAAGAATTCTGGCATTAACCTCTGAATTCTGGGGAAACAAAAAGAATGACCCCTCCCCTCTAATCCACTTCCGTACACCAGCCGCTTTCTAAATGAATGAATGCATTTACGCAGCAGCTTTTTTGTTTGTTCGATTTCCAGGAAACCCCGAAATGCTTTGAAAGAAGCGTTTTTGACAGAAATATTAGAAACTTTTGACTTTCTATATTTGCTGCCAAATACGTCGGAAATGTCGATATTGCCTCTGCAGGAATGACGTGTGTATGAGCATGTCACACAAGCCATTACCTCCCCCCCCTCTTTTTTTAATTACTCACGGCTTCATTGTCGCATAAGCAACCGGCTCCAACATGTGGGAAAATCCACTTTTTACGGGTTTTTAGGGGCATTGTCGGGTCTCCCTTGTCACCCTCCGCGTACCTGGAATTTATTCCGATCCTTCAAGCGCGATATCCGGGTATTTCGGCCCAGGTCTGTCGGTGCTGTCTGAACAGGTAATCCAGAAACTCCGTGCTCAGTAAATCCAAACGGCGCTTCAAAATTCCTTTGATTACATCCATCTCCCGTGGGGAACAACTGATACATCCAAAAAACGGGTACACCCAGCCGTGGAAAACTCCAGCTCAGAACACTGGCACTGTCGCGGCTCCTCCTCTTCCTCCTCCTCTTCACCTCCTTCTATGGACGTTAACTGTGATTGGCAAACCACAGTGGTCTCTCTGAGACGGAGATGCAACATGCGGATAAGTGGAGAGCAACGTTGATCCTCTTCTTCCTTTTTTTCTCAGCAGCTGGCATCGAACTTTTTCACGCACCGCCGCCTACTTGGCCGGAGTGTTAGTGAAAGGCTCTAATTTGAAAATTAACTGCAATGGATGAGCAGTGTTGGGGAGTAACGGAATACATGTGCCGCCGTTACGTATTTAAAATACAAAATATGAGTAACTGTATTC